ACGATGAGTGCGACACGGTTGCGTCTTGTTATCGCTATTATTTAATCTGTATTCGGATCTAGATTCAGAGAAGCATTAGAATAGGTCCAAGGAATCACGAACAGCGGAACCAGCATTACTCTGATGATACCGTCTTCTACCGAATATAATAGCAAAATCTTTTTTTTAAATCCAAATGTTTTCAAAACCAAAATTCTAGTATTTTTAAATATACCAATAAACATACATTTGTCGTGCAGCAGTTTCCAAAGCTATAATTGCCATTTGTATTTCGCCTTTTAAATATTTGTCTTCTACTTTGACAGCATGATTACATATTTTTTCCATTCATCTGAATTGCATTTACTAAACTGCACTTTTAATAAAATATTGATTCACTACTCTCGATTAATTTATTTCTAGTCATATATTTATTCTAAGTTGGTTTTTTATATTAAAAACTGCATGAAAATAAAAAAAATGCAGACATTAAATGAGAACTAAAAAAATTACAAGAATATATATCAATGAGATTGGATTCGTTACGATTGCCAAAATTTAAAAGTCATAAATGCCATCAAATTAATAACAATATTGACACTTCTCGAATTAAAATTTCATAAAATATAAATATATTATTGTTTAAAACATCTTATTGAGTTTATATAATAATTAAATTTACTAATAATTAATGAAATTTATTTATATTTTATTTATAAATTTATTATGTCGTCCGAATTTGATCGGTCTGTCAGAAGTAAACAATGTATGCTTTGTTAATATGTTGGAAGTTGTGTTAGGAGCAAACATAATATTTTTCAACATATAGCTACTTTATTTAATTTTAAAAATAAAGAAAACAGTTTTTGTTTCTGTTATGATGGTGAAGTCCATCTTAGGATCATTATTATCTAATGTTACAATTACCTATCCGTAACAATAGATTAATAAATGCAAGCTGATAAATAAGCATAAGATTATCCAATTTTTATTTAATTTAGATAAGCTTGATAGGGAACTAGCTGATTGATAAGAAACTTATCAACTTAATCAAGAGTAGGTTAGGGGTTTGCCCAGGTTTATAATCATATTTATTTGCAACAAGCCAAGAAGAAAGTATTATGGTGCATATTATCATATTATGAGTATTTTAGAATGCTAGTAGTTTCCTAGGTACGTGTTTATAAATTACTAGTAATATACTATTATTAGATTTACATATTATGTGAACTATTATATGGTTAACTGAACTTTCTCAACTTAAAGATGATGCTTTAATGTAAGTAATAACTTTTTTACCATAAATGATCTAAAATACATTTTATCTATTTTTATTTTGTTAAAACATATCTCCAAGGGTTTGGAAAAGTCATTTAATTTTTTACTTAAATATTTTATTTAAATTGTTTTAACTACATATGACCACATTCAACTATATGCAGTCTAGACATTCATGTGTGAAATCATTATTTTTTACCTCAAAACTAACATTTGACTGAACGTAATTAACTAAAAATTTAGTAATTGTTCATCAATTGTGCATGGTATGTATTTCTACCTTTTATATTCAGATTAGTAATTTTGCCCTTTGCATGCGACAGGAGATTTATTCAATTGCCATCTACTGTCAGTCAATAACTTTAAAAAAAGAGTGATACTTAGTAAGGGCCGACAGAAATGAATATAGATTGTTTTGGTTATATGTAAGTTAAAGAAATTTTATGACTGCTTATTATTGAATTATTAATATTTTTTACAATAAAACCACAGTTTTTTAAAATTTAAAAATTTTTAATTTTTTATATAAAAATGTTGTTTAATCATTTTAGTAGTTTTCAAATTTGTTATAAATTTTTCAAATGTTTATATTTTTTTAAATCTTTTATAATTTATTCAATTTTTTTATAATTTATCCTAATTGGATAGATACCGTTTGGTGCCAGTAGATTTCTGGTTGATGGTTAATGCAATCAAATGATTTTAAATAGTCTATAAAAAATGCAAATACCTCTACATTCATGTGTCTGCATCATTGTGAAGTACAAGTAAAAAAAGAGCTTTTCATGTTTCAAAAGTATTTTAAATCCGACTTGAGCATTATCCGTTTGATATTAACATTTCCTGTAAATTCTTGTATGATTGATTCCAAGAAAAGTTTAAGGGACATAGGGTAGTAGGGGACTCAAATATGTATCGAAAACAACTGTTAAAATTGTTCTATGATTTAAATGTATTCCAAAATTTTGGTAAAATATAATATATTTTTCAGGCCACCCCTAAAAGTCAGACCAGACGCTGTGAAAAAATGTGTATTACATGTTGCGTTTTGTCATATTGATGTTTCTGATGTTTGACATTATTTAAATCAACTATTTTATATTTATCTATGATTTAAATGGCCAAAATTTTTATTTTGTGATATATTGTTTAAATTAAAATTTAAATTAAAAAATTAAGTTGATTAAAAAATGTACTCAGTTAAGGAGAAAAGAGCAATAATAATTTTGTGATATATTGTTTAAATTAAAAAATTAAGTTGATTAAAAAATGTACTCAGTTAAGGAGAAAAGAGCAATAATAAAAATGTTTTATTCATGTTTTATTAAAACATTTGTTATAGTTTAATGTTTAGAAATTATCATAAATTATTTTTAGGAATAAAGATCACAGTAACAGTATATTGAAATTCATTGAATTGTTGTAGAACTTAACTTAACATTGAATTACATTTTAGTGTGTATTAGAATATCTTACATTAAATAATAATCTGTTAGTGGCAGGAAAAGGTTCGCGCTATTGCCTGAATACATTATGCGATTTTTTGTCAACTGAGTACATTTCATTATATTGATAGATTTGTAAACAATATAATTTATTGTTTATAATTTAATCATAAAGTAAAAAAATTGACAATTCAAATTGTCAAACATCTGACATCAATATGATAAAACACACATGTCATAATATATATTCTTGCCCTATGTGTGGCCTAACTTTTAGGGGTGGCCTAAAAAATGTATTATATTTTTGCAAAATTTTGAAGTACATTTGATTTGTAGAACGGTTTTAACATTTGTTTTTAATTCAGATTTTAGTCCTCTACAAATAGTTTTTTATGACTTTTGATCTAAAATAATTAGGGAAGCAGTAATTCAACAATTTAAAATTTTCCATTGAATTTCCTATGGCCCGTTTGACGATTCACCACCCGGTATATAAATGTAAGGTGTGCAATAAGCTACTTAGCTGAAGTATGTATGACAGGTGCAGAACAGATAGCTTCCAAAGTAGAGAACCAAACAATATTCTGTCCACCATCAGTAAGACGGTTAACACAAGCAGGTGAGCAAAACAATGTGAATTTGGTTAAAAAAGATTTAAATCTACATTTCCTGGTATAGAAGCAGAGGATTTATAATGATAGATTGCAAACAAAATCTCGAACTATTAAGAACAATTTTGAGAATTCCTTCCATAAAAATCATTCAAATTAGTGCTTTTGATGAGAAAGAGATGAATTTGAAAATTTTTGACAATTTTCATCACTCCTGGAAGAAAAATCAGGAATATAGCAAATAGCAATGGTATAAAAGATGATTCAGCTACAGAGTAAGCTACAATGCAAAATAAGTTTTTTTAAGTTCTTTTTATCATAATTTGAAGTACTGAACAGAAAAATAAGTTTCATACTTTTTAATACTTTAACATACTTTCAATAAGTTTCATACTTTCATATAACTTGATCAGAATAAACACAACTCTTATATTTGTAATTTTATTCTTTATAGGCAACTGGACTTAAATTTGATTATAAATAACTAAGTACTATTATCTAAATTACCATAATTCTTTATTTAATTTTATGATTATGATTTAAATAATACTATTTTTGTGGTATCTATTTTGGTTTTACCATAAAATATAGTATGAAAGAATGTAATAATGCTCTTGTTACAAGACACAAAAAAGTTTCTTCCAGAAAATTTGCAATATAGAAGACTTCTGTAAACATAAAAATGTTTTTATTATTATATTTAATGAAAACAACCATGAATAATAGATTTTTAAATAGTCATTTTTAAAACCAGATACTATATAATAAGTTTATACAATACCCTAATGAGTGTTGATATTATATTTTAGATAATTACTTATATTACCAAGGCTGTAAATAATTTTTTACAATGAGAAAATGTAATTGTACTACAGAAAAATAAGTTTGAATACAGTTAATACTAGGAGGTAAGTATAAAAAAACTATAAACAATTATTTAGCACATAAATCAATACACATCTAATATAAACTATAAAACAATATACCTAATTCAGTAGTAATAATGTAAATAATATCTAAATAATCAATTAAAACCTAAGAATTTGTTATAGTTTTTATGTCCAATTTGAAATTATAAACCTAACAATTGTGTTTTTCATATTTTATTATACAAAAAAATAAACTCAGGTTAATAATCCTCTCTAAATCTAAAACCGAGAGTAATCCCAGTAATGGAGATACAAATGTTCCTGTTATTGATTTATTTGTAGTTCGCATTTTTTACTTTTCTGTTTTATTCAATAAGCCATATTTGGGCCGTTTCTATTTAAACCTTTGATTAATTTAATGTTTAAAAAAACAGGAAATATTACAACTACGTCGAGACCTGCCGCACAAAAGAAGCAATGTAAGAAGCTTCAGTGAATCGGTTTATAGGAATACCAAGTACTCATTTTCCTTAATTATTAGTTTGAACGGTTTTCTTACAACATAAAGAAAAAACGTACGTTCGATTTAATGAAATGTTGGGGTTTTATACAAAAATTTGATAAAATTTTAACTCACCACGACACAGCACAGCACTGACGACATGCCGCCATGTTGAATGTCAACATGTTAGGAGAAAAACAAAAACCCACAAAATCCCAAACTGTCAAGATATGCAAGGAAGAGCGAAGTTGCATGCTCACAGTGTCAACAGCAACCAACTTCATTGGTTGAAGTTGAAATTTATGTATGACAGTGACAGTACTGACAGTTTCTTTAAGATTAAAATTTGGGTTAAATTGTTTAACATTAAAAAATATAAAAAAATAACAGAAATGAAAATAAATAAACGTGGACATGTGTAAATGATAAAGTGAAAAATAATATATAATTTTAATAATCATGTATAAATTTATTATTCATTTACAATAACACATATATATTCTTTTAGGTTAATCTATTTATAATTTTGAGTCAGAGGAAATAGAAACAAAAAAGTTTTATTTAATTTTGCATTTTAAATTTACTATGGAAGCAATATTTCATGAAAAGGTGGTTTAGTTAATTTGTAAATGCCTATGTTTAATGAAAGTATAAATTTTAGCAAGAGGGTTCTCTATGTGCACAACACTGCTTGAATTCATTATTACAAGGATCATATTTTACAGCTGTAGATCTAAGTACTTTAGCCGAAAAGTTAGATGATGAAGAAAGACAACGGATGGCAGGTCAGTAAATAAGAAATCTTAAATAAAGAATAAACAGTTGTGACATAAAATGGCATTGGACATAATTTCTTTGAGGCAAGCAATATTTGAATGAGATAACACCAAAATCTTTTTTATATCTTAACCATCTTGTCTGAAGCCATTTAAACTATTCTAACGAACTAAAAATCTGTTATCTTCATTTGAACTATGTCTAATTTGAAATTCCTAGATTTTATTAGCTACATTCAGTGGTGGGATGGTGACTCAGTATTTGGCTTTTTTCTTTTTAATTATACTATGCCATAAAATTCTGATCTATTCTATCAATATCCAGTGTTTGTAGAGGCCATGTGAACATTGCACTTACATGTGAATTGGTACTTTGACCAGCACAAGTATGAGAGTAGAACATGCTGTTTTACATTTCTTTATAAGGGGGTCTATAGGTGTTTATATAAACAGCATGCAATTTGGTTAGCCCTTTGAGCCCCAATTGTTTGTACAACACATAACTCAATGTTCTTTTGATTTTGTAGTCATAAATTGTTAGGTTGGTTGTAAGTCCATACCTGCCTTTTATAAAAAGCAACTGAGGAACTTCATGATTGTGTATCAATTTTTGTTTTTCCTGATATGTCTGATCTCTTAACATTATATGCCTACCATGTTCACCAACAAGTTTGGCTTAAGATTGTTTATCTTTATTGTATTTGCAATAAAACTTATTATAAAGGAATGAAACTTGTGATAAAGTGAAGAATGAAACTTATAAGAAATTATAGTTTCATTTTGTAGAATTCTTGTCCATAGATCTTGATAGAAACTATATTTCAAAGGTATTGTTTAATGCCTTTGAAATATAGTTGCAATTAATGTTTCTTGTGTAATAGCTTTCATATTATAGAAAACATTTTGTATATGTTTTTGTCTCATTGTGTCTTTCATCTAAAATTTTATGTTTTGGTGTGAAATTAGCCACTCATATCATCAGCTTATGTAAAGATAATTCATAATGTTGTGGACCTGACATAATCATTTAGTGACAATGATCTACCAATGAAACAATGATATCAGTTATTGCTAAAACATGTGCTTCTCTTCAGTGCGTTATCGTAGCGAGACAGAGAAGACTAGTTTTTATGTTAGTGAAATAGCTTTAATATTTTTATTATTTTTTTGTGAACAATTGTTTTTAATATTTTATAGTGAGGTACTATTTATGTTCAGTGTGTTTTAAGGCGTTTTTTACATTTTACAGTGAGATCCTAATAATATAACTTAAATTATGTTTATTTTAATATTTTTTTTGCAAATATATTATACAGGGTGGTCCTTAAGTAATTATGCAAAAAGTATAACATAGATTCTAAACTTTAAAATATTACGATTTAAGCCAAATTGCTTTAATAAAATGTTGATATTAAGAAAGATACAGGGTGTTAAAGTGGAAATTAAAAATTTTAATTTTTGCTATAACTTTCAATTTTTGTGAAAATTTATGTATCTAAATTCATAACTGGGTACTATTGAACATCAGAAATTATAATTTGATGCATACTTTAATGTAGCTAATAGAGGGCGCCACATAGGCCACATATGTGGCATACATTTGTACTTAACTTTTTTGCTCTTTAAGTTACCAGTGTTTGTAAGAAAAAATATTAAAGATACATTATTTTAACAAAAAAAAGTATATTTGTTAATAACTTCAAAACTTACAATTTTCGAGATAATCGCATTTTAGAACAACTACAAATCTTTACAGAACCTTAGAATCAACTACATGATTCTGATTTATCGCAATTACTCCAGGCAACGAAAGAAAATTATTAATATTTCTAAGACAAAAATATTAATATTTTCTGAATTTTGGTATAAAATGCCTTTGAACAAAAGTTAATAGTTAATGAAATATTAAATAAAATATCAAGATATAGCAGGATAGTTAATAGCAGGATTTGGCAAAATAATAGTATATAATAATAAGTGTTTGATATGTCCACCATTTTCTTTAATTGATTTGTCAATACTTTCCATAAAAGATCGTCTCATATTAAATAACATCATTGGTTCTAAAGAAACTGCTGTAGTATTTGTAATAAGTAATGTAAGTATAATATATAATAAATAAAATATAATAATAAAGTAAAACGTTTGGGATTTTTATAAATTAAATAATTATATTAATATCTCATCACATGATCAAGGAATATGACTACCACGAAAAATTCAATGCTCAGGAAAGTTGTATTAACTAATTATGTTCTCACTGCCCCTCTCTATAATGTGGTGATGTACCATATTGCATAAACCACATATTTCGCCTTAAGTTTGATGACAAATTCTTCCAATAAATCAATAAAATAATTTTATAAAAAATGTAAATAAATCTCACCATTCAAATTACAAGCTAATTCGCATGTCCGTAAAAAATAATTACAAATGGTACCAAGCCATACCATATGCTTTTTAACATAAATTTTAAATAAATGTATGGTTTGGAACCATTGGTAATTATTTTTTACGGACATGCGAATTACCTTGCTATTTGAATGGTGAGATTTATTTACGTTTTTTATAAAATGATTTTATTGATTTATTGGAAGAATTATTGTCATCAAACTTAAAGCGAAATATGTGGTTTATGCAAGATGGTACTCCACAACATTATAGAGAGAGGCCAGAGAGAACATACTTAACCCTTAACTTGGCGCGAACATAACTGCTGTAAGAAAAATGTTTACTGAAATTGTCTTGAAATTGAAATGATTACTGAATATTGTCTTTAGAGAGCTCCATTTCTACAGTCAATTACATTTTTGTTTCTATTTTAATTTTTTTGACATTTTATTGACATTGTATCTCATAAGATACACTGCTAGGCGTACTGTACATTACAATGTATCTCACAAGACACATTGCCAGGAATACTATAAAACAAGTACTGATGACCAATAGATGCATTGCCAGGGTATTAGAAAAATACCTCTGTATCTAGAAATATACATTGCAAATATGTGTATTTGTCATTTGGACCAATATATTAAATAATATTGGGTCATTGAATTAAATGAAAATTATCAAATTTTCACAAAATATAATGAAAAACATTAAACAAATCTACAATTATTTCGCTAAGGGTCTTTAGCATTTTTAAGTCTTTAAGCAAAACAATTGTAGATTTGTTTAATGTTTTCATTACATTTTGTGGTACTGTGTTTTACTTCAATTTATTATGAACAGATACCATAAAGTAGGAGTTTAAACCATAAACATAATATTGGATCAATTAATATCAATCATTTACATTTAAAAATTATAAATAAACTACAAAGATGATCAAACATTTATTTTTACAGCTTAAAAAATAAAAATAAAAATAAATAATTATAAGTTAGTGTTTGTATTAATTTAGATGTTAATGATGGTATAAAAGGTAGTGAAATATAATAGATGTTCAGATTATTAGATACAATGTTCTGAGATTTAGCAAAAAATGGTGTTAAGTTATTTATATTAAAAATATTAGAAAACAGCATCCTATGTAGGATATCTGAAGCTTAAGAGTTCTCAATTAAAAATATTTTTTAACAAATGAAGATCTTGTAGATAATCTGGATGAGAAAGCCCCTTTTATTGACTTCAACTCATCAAAAACATATATATATATATATATATAAATATATATATATATATATATATATATATTTTTATATATAAGGATCACTCAGACGAGTGGTGGGTTCTTATATCGGTCTCTAGGTGGAGAAATAAAAGACAAAGTTGATAGGCTACTTTATCTATTTTGAAGACGTTTCGCTTTCGAGTTTTGAAAGCATCATCAGTTCATCTAAAAAATTTTACAATATGAGAACCAACACAATCATGGAAACGATGTTATTTGTTACCTTAAAAAGATATGTAGCAGTCAATGTTATTAACAAACATGTGAATGAAACTAAGTAAATGGACATAATACGCTGATCTTGTATAAACAGTTAAGCAACTAAAACATATATGAACTTGTAAAAAATTAGCACACAGCAAATGACCATGTGGTCTAAAGTAAATTCAATGTTATTTATGTTAATAAGTGAGTAAGAAACCAAGAAAATCATAAATAACTTCCAACTATTTAATGGATATTAAGCTTTGATTTTAACTTTAGGTAGCATTATAAGTGATATTAATAAAATTTTAAAAAAAAGTAGTAAAATGAAGTTACCGATCAAAGCCCTATGAAAGTCGCCGAGAAAATGACGTTTAATGAAACAGGAACGAACTAAACCGCAAAAAGGACAGCCAACCTTGAGGTCAAAAATACTTTTGACAGATCAACAAGGTGTAGATACCAACCCAAATTTTGGGCGGTTAATTTAAGTTAAATGAGTTTGGATGACTACCCGGTTTGCAAAGGACAAACACAGTGAAAAAAGTTGGTAGTGTAAAAACAACTCCCCTCACTAATCAGCCCAAATTTACAAACAGGAGATTTTCATTCAACCTCATAAGTATGTAATGACGTTAAACATTATGGCTAGTTAAACAGCCTCAGGTGGTTAACGATTTTGATAATTTCTTACTCACTTATTAACATTAAATAACATTGAATTTACTTTAGACCACCATGGTCATTTGCTGTGCTAATTTTTTACAAGTTCATATATGTTTGTTAGTTGCTTAACTGTTTATACAAGATCAGCGTATTATGTCCATTTACTTAGTTTCATTCACATGTTTGTTAATAACATTGACTGCTACATATCTTTTTAAGGTAACAATTAACATCGTTTCCATGATTGTGTGGTTCTCATATTGTAAAATTTTTTAGATGAACTGATGATGCTTTCAAAACTCGAAAGCGAAACGTCTTCAAAATAGATAAAGTAGCCTATCAACTTTGTCTTTATATTTCTCCACCTAGAGACCGATATAAGAACCCACCACTGTCTGAGTGATCCTTATATATATATATTGGATTGACGGTCGTAATCCTTTTTCGATATATATATATATAT